GTCTGAGACCTCACCAGAAGTACCTTTAAACATTCACATTTCTAGCAACATTCTGTTCATGATGATATATATATATATTCTCTAAGATGATAGAAGCTTTTCTTGTAGCTCTTCACTCTTCTTTCTGAACCTTCACCATACTCACCTTTCACATCCATATTTCTACCAACAGTCCTTTCAAAGCAATCTAGGCTTTTTTTATCATGTGCCTCAAAATTCTTCTGGCCTCTCCCTATTGCACAATGTCAAAGCCATGTCCACATTTCTAGGTATTTGTTAGAGCAACACCCAGTTTCCCAGTATCAAGATCATTATCAGTTAGGGTTTTCCCAGAGAAATAGAACCAATAGTTCTGTTTATCAGTGGTGGTAAATTCATGGGAAATATGTATATATATATTTCATTAAATTTTAAGGAATTCACTCATGTGATTATGGGGGCTGGCATGGTAAGTCCAATGGAAAAAAGTCTTTCATAGTTTTCCAGATATTTATCATTTGTTGCTCTTTCTTCATTCCTGAAGATCCAAGTTTCTTTCTGGTATCGTTTTCCCTTCAGTGTGAAGAACTTCCTTTAGCATTTCTTTTTTGTTTATTTATTGTGCTTTAGGTGAAAGTTTACAGCTCAAGTTAATTTCTCATACAGAAATTTAAACACATACTGTTATGTGACCCTAGTTGCTTTCCCTATAATGTGACAGCACACTCCCCCTCTCCATCCTGGGTTTCCCGGTGTCCGTTCAACCAGCTCCAATCCCTTTCTGCCTTCTCATCCTGCCTCCAGACAGGAGCTGCCCATTTAGTCTCGTGTATCTACCTGAACTAAGAAGCATACTCTTCACGAGTATTATTTTATGTTTTATAGGCCAGTCTAATCTTTGTCTGAAAAGTTGGTTTGGGGAATGGTTTTAGTTTTGGGCTAACAGAGTGTCTGGGGGCCATGTCTTCAGGGGTCCCTCGTCTCAGTAAACCATTAAGTCTGGTCTTTTTACTAGAATTTGAGTTCTGCACCCTACTTTTTTCCTGCTGCATCAGGGACTGTCTTGTGTTCCCTATTAGGGCGGTCATTCATGGTAGCCGGGTATCTTCTGGTTCTTCTGGTCTCAGGCTGATGGAGTCTCTGGTTTATGTGGCCCTTTCTGTCTCCTGGGCTCATATTTACCTTGTGTCTTTGGTGTTCTTCATTCTCCTTTGCTCCAGGTGGGTTGAGACCAAGTGATGCATCTTAGATGGCCGCTCGCTAGCTTTTAAGACCCCAGACGCCACTCACCAAAGTGGGATGCAGAACATTTTCTTAATAAACTTTGTTATGCCAGTTGACCTAGATGTCCCCCGAAACCATCGTCCCCAGACCCCTGCCCCTGCTACTCTGTCTCTCAGAGGTGTTTTGTTGTGTTCAGGAAACTTCTTCGCTTTTGGTGTAGTCCAGTTGTGCTGACTTCCCCTGTATTGTGTGTTGCCCTTTCCTTCACCTAAGATAATTCTTGTCTACTATCTAGTTAGTGAATTCCCTCCCCCTACCCTCATAACCATTCCTTTAACATTTCTTATACAGCATGTCTGCTGGCAATAAATTCTCTTAATTTACCTTCATCTATGAATGGTTTTATTTTTTCTTCATTCCCCTATCTAGGTTGCTTCTCCATGTTTTGACTGCCTTCCACAAAGCCACCTTTTATTTTTCAATCTCCTCTGGTCACTGATTTTGCATTTTGTCTAGTTTTTAGTTGTAGTCAGCAGGAGAGATAGGCTGTAGTGGGCTTACATGGCTATGCCAAACTGGAACAATCAGAATGTATTTTTATATTGGATCATTTCTATAGTAAAATATCTTACTAAATTAAAATCAGAAGGGTACGGGGAGTTCTTACATGGGCATGTTTCTAGTTGCCCAGGTATACTCTTTACCAACAAATACATAAGCAAATAATAACAGATGGTGGTAAATTCAAGAAATAAATGATGCTATGATAGAATATAACAGGGTGGGATGGACCTCCTTAGACTGACAAGTCAGGAATATCCTCTTTGAAGGTCTAGGTAGAATAATCCAATACCAAGTGCAAAGACTTTGTAGCAGGAATGAATTTGGAGTGTTGGATGCAACAACAGGTCAGTTCGACTGTTACATCATGAGCAGGGGGAAGAGAGGAATGAAGTGAGGCTGAGATCAGCCTTTGTACACACTGTTTGCTCTCTAGTACACCCTTCCAGATGAATTCTTTTACCCAGTTAATTAGACATCACTAGTAAGCATTCTCTGACACTATGTCTGAAATTGTTGCAGTTCTTCTAAACTCCTGGTAGCACCCAGTACTTGCATTGTAACAGCACTCTTGGTCCTCTTTTGAGTAGTCTAGTCCATTATTGATTTACTTGTCTGTTTTAGTGGAGGAAATTTAAACCATGAGCTCCAGCAGAGTAGTGACCACATCCATCTTATTTACCATTACACAGTAGATGGTCAATAGATATTTCTTGAATGAATGCAGACTCTGGCACTTCTGAACTCCCTAACCCTTCCCTACTTTTTCCTTTGATATATCTCATTAGTTTGTACAACGGAATTTTCCAGGTCTTTAAGTCTTGGTTTCATTTTGCACAGTTCATTTTTAAGTCTCTCTTTCCTCGTGCATTTTACTGTAAGCAGCAAGGAAAAAACCACTCGGCCCCTTTTAGATCTTGCTTAGAAATTTCCTCTGCCAAATATCCAAGTCCATCACTTACAAGTTCTGCCTCCCACCAGATATTTGAACATAACTCAGACAAGTTCTTTGCCAAGGCATAGAAAGCATCACCTTCCCTCCAATGTCCAATCACATGTTCATCATTTCCTTTTAAAGCCTCACCAGAAGTGCATTTAACGTTTACATTTCTAGCAACACACTGTTCATGATGATAGCTTTCATCACAGCTCTCAGTTCTGTCTTAGCCCGGATCAGAATCACGCTTAATGTCCATAATTCTACCAACGGTCTCTTCAAGACAAACTAGGCCCTTACTATGAAGTACATCAAAATTCCTCCAGCCTCTACCCATTATCCAATTCCAAAACCAGTTGCACATATTAGGTACCACTCTCTCTGGTACCAAATTCTTAGTTTCTTACTGCTACTATAACAGAAATACCAAAGTGGGTGGTTTTAACAAAGAAATTAATTTTCTCACAGTTTAGGAGGCCAGAAGTCTGAGTTCAGGGCACTGGCTCTAGGGGTAGGCTCTCTCTGTCTTCTCTAGGGGAAAACCTTTGTCTCAGTTTCTCTAGCATTTTTCTCAGCATTCCTTCGAGATCTCCACGTGGCATCAATCCTTCCTCCATTTGTGCTTGCTTGCTTTTGTGCTGAATCCGCTTTTTAGATCTCAAAAGTGATTAGGTTGCAGACACACCCTACACTGATATGGTCTCAGTAACACAACAAAGAAAACCCTAGTCCCAAATGGGATTGCGTCCACAGGTATAGGGGGTTAGGATTTACAACTTATTTTTTTGGCACACAATTCAATCCATAACAAGCATGGTGCCTGGCATATAAGGTACTCAGTAAATATTCATTGAATGAATAATTCCGGATCAAAGGTAGGCAGCTTTTACTAATATGTATGACAAAACTGTAATCATTCTTTTAACTCAGGGGACTTTAGTACATGCTGGAGAAACAGGATCCTGGCTCTCTGCTGCTGCTCCGGCACTTCTTCCCTACCCATTCTCTTGCTGCCATTCTAGTCTCTCTCTATTCTCGCTGCTTCCTCATGCTGGTGGTACTAGAAAGAAGGCTGCCTGTACCAGGTGTTAGGAGCACACACCCACATTCCTTCTTTCTGGTTAGTCTGCCTTGGGACATGGCAGACAAACTTGTGGAGAGGGAACAAAGCTCAGCACCCATAATCTCACAAGCCTGAGGCCTTTACACAAGCTAGCTAGACATTTTTCAGCACAGAGAGAAATGGATGAAATAGACTCAAGGAAGTTTTTCTGCCTTAAGACTTACTGTCCTTTTGGATGGCAGTGTGGCCCACTGCTTAGGAATGTGGGTTCTGAAATCAGACAGGTTTCGATTCAGATCCCACTGCCACTTACCCTGGTGTGAGCTTATTTCATCTAAAATGCTTAGTGTAGTGTCCCATGATGTTGTTTTTCTTTGACAATTACGAGTCTTCTCACCAGCCCTTTCCAGTAATTATTTTCATATATATCTAACTTCAGTGAACTGAAATGCTCGGGAAACCGGATGGTTAATTATTAAATTTAAATTTGGAGTTAACCCTTGTTGATAAATACTTTGTCATTTTTTGAGTATGCATTTCTACTTTATCATAGTGAACATGACCGGTCACATTTCTCTGTGATGACTGCACGCCCTAGAGATACAAGCATGGCCTTCAGGTCATCATTCTAAATAATTTCCAATGTCCAGGATTAGAACACTGAGAATATGAGATCTTACTGAGGTTATCTTGACCCCAAAACCATATCCTAGAAATTACATTTTTTACATTATTGTGCACATAAAATTATTCTAATAAAAGCAGAATAGGAGGGGAAGGAGGATCACTGTTACAGTGGGATCATTTAACATATTTGGTTATAATGCCTTCTCCATAACCTCCTATTTAAGGCTGCCCAACTTGTCAGCAATACATGCTTCTTCGCACAACTGGCATACTGGTATGCGTATATGTGTGCACTCATGCACATGCCTTTTTCTAAAGAGCAGAAAGGTGTAGTTGACCACTTCAAACAGGGCAACACTATCTTCAGCCCAGTGGAAGAATGTGGATAACGCAGCTTTACCCTGAACGTTGAATGGCTCTGTCCGGAGCAACCGAGGATGTGGCAAAATGGTTTCAGGAGGGCGGCTCTCCCTCTGAACAGTGATCTGGTGAACCTGGAAGGGAAACTTCCTGCTACAATAACACAGCAAGGCGATGTGATGAACACTTTTATTTACAAATATAATTAAAAGCTCTGACAGTTATCATGCTCTTCCTTGGATCCTGAAAAATGGTTTGTTTTGTTTTTTTTTTAAAGTGCATGCAAAAGAAGTAAAGCCTTTTTTTTTTCATCATTTTTTATTGTAAGAAAATACACAGTTTGAAAGTGTGAATAATGCAATATTTATGACCAAGATATGGGACTTAGGGAGGGGAAGGGAAATAAAGAAAAAGATCAAGATGATCTGATTGAGAAACAGTGTTGAACTCCAAATACTGAATTGGAAAAGGAGGGAGGTGGGGGGGAGGAACAGGAGGAGGAAGTAAAAAAATTTGATCAGAGAAACAGTTAAAATACAATATGAAAATAAGTAATACCTCTCCTTAAATTCCTTCTATACACAAAATACACGATTTGCCAAAGCCCAATTTGTGCTACTGGGATTCTGTGAGCTCCTTAAGTGTATTCACATCCTCTGCAACAGCAGAAAATGATTATGATACAATCAGAATATGCTGAAGACAAGTTAAACTCTTGCCAGCAGGTTCTTAAAAATCACAAGATCTCTTCACCCCACCTATCCCCCCAATCCCCAAAAAAGTAATAATATGTCACCACTGATATGTACATCACAATTAGTTTCTGTAAAATGTATCAAATTCTCAATCTTTAATAAAACTTTGTTTTTTTTTATTTTTTTTATTCCTGATGAATAAATACCAAAAAAATAAAATAAAATAAAATAATGCAGCAGCTAGTTAAGGTGTAAGGCTGCGGATATTGTGTCTCTCTCCCCCTTGGCATTTATTATTTATTTACTTATTTATTTTTTTGCTTTACTTTCACAGATTGGTGGTAATGAGTGATTGCTTAAAGCAATATACATCCACTTTTGTTGTTGTTGTTGGTTTATTGGTTTTGTTAAAATTGTCTCCAAAAGCTTTCACTGAAACATTTTGAATCACATCAATACTGTGACGTGTACTATGAGTGAGTAGAAGAGATGGCCAGGTTCTGGCCAGCACTGAAAGTTGACACGGGGGGAGGAAGGGGGCCCCTGATGGAGTAAGAATAAACAGGCACTAGTCCGACACGATGTCAGTAAGAGTAAGAGAGAGAGAGAGAGAGAGCGCGAGAGCAACGCCCGTTAAAATGGGGAATGTGGTTTTGCAGGGTCTGAATTTTTTTTGTTTTTCTTTTTTTTGTAAATGGCAAAAAATTTAATCTCATCTATAGTCCTCCTTAGGAAAATCTAATGTAACCAGATTCCCAAATCCCATTCTGAGGCTCTCCACGTCAAAAGTTTCAATCTCTCGCTCTTGCCTTTCCAATAGGTACTTTATTCTCTCGCTGCGTTCCTTCTGAAGGGCAGCCAGCTCTTCTTCAATCTGAAATAAGCACAATGAGCAGTCCTTAGTGGAGAGGATCTCCCAACAAGTACCCACACGCACGCTTGTACATACACATGCACATACGTGACCCGTACACAGGAAGCGAGAGTAAACGAGACGGAGAAGGGCTGGGAGAGTCCTGTGATAAGCCTCTCTATTACACTTAAAACTGGCTCACCAGAATAAAAATGTTTGGGGCCCACCTAGGGCTTGAAATACCATTCTAGCGAGCCAAGCACCTGGGCTGATCTAGGTCAGTGTCCTGTTTCAGCAGGAGATATCTCGGGAGCAGCTAAAAGACACTGAAGCACAATTAGATTGTGCTGCTTTTCCATAGAGAGCTGAATGCCCCCTGGGTCATTAGCAATTTAGTTCTACAGCAGCATCTGGGAAAATACTGGTTACATTGGTCTACTGGAAGGAAGTACCAATAACTGGTTAAGCAAATAAATGCTTAACATCTCTGAGATGCTTTATGAAATCTTTTCTACTTCATATTCCCCAGCAACATCTAAAGCAATGAATATTTCAATTCAGATAACATTTATTATACATGGCATTATCAGCCTCTCCATTTTAATTTTCTTAAAGAGCCCTGCTGGTGGTATCTCTTGGTTTAGAAATAGCTGAAAATAAAAGCCAAATCTGCATATGGCTTCGTTGTGCCATTTAGCAGCCAGGAACATCTAACAGGAGCTTTTAACCCCATGCTACCAGCTCCCGTCACCTTTCATGTCATATCAACTACCCAGTAACCCATGTCACTCCTGTGGTTGGGAAGGTTGAGGGTTTCCTAGCAGAGGAGTAGAAAGGGCTTAAGCTGTGCAGTCAAACAGACTTGTGCAAGTAACTTAACCATTCTGAGCCTGCCCTGTAGAATGGGGATGACGCCCACCTCTCAGAGACATTGGGACTATAAAAGCAGATGATGAATGTAAAGGGCCTAGTTTACTCTCCCTGTACAGAGGCAGGGCTCAGTAAGGGGCATTTCCGAGACCGTCTCTCCACCCTCCACCCAGCTGTACAGGACCCACAGTTAACAACCGTACCTTCTGCTCAAGATGTGCTCTACGCAGAGACACCCTCTGCTCTAGCTTCTGGAGCTCGCGTTCATGCTGTGCCTCTGTTTGCATCTTGATTTTGCTCTGGTAGGCATTGAGCAGCTCCATTTCCTGCTGGAGCTGTAGCCTCAAGGCCTGGCATTCTGCTTCTTGAGCCTCATCTAGCCGTAACTGCGGGGGCACAGAAGACACACACTGTAATTCCCTCTAGCTTATAGCACTTGGTGACTACTGGAAGATGTTTCCTTATTTGGATTGAAATGGGTCCCCTCAGAAAAACAGATGCCCTAGGTACGTTCAGAGTTAGGAATCAAAAATTACAGTCAAGTCTGCCCAATAGGCTCCAAAGTTGTAAACACACATTCTTTTCAGGATGGTCTGAAACCACAGCAGCGGGAATCAGGATGGTGACACGCTGCAGTGACTGAGCCCAAAGGCTTTTGAGGCTAACACCTGAGTTTGAATTCTAGCTCTGTTCACTTACAGACAACACCTTGGCAAGTTATTTAACCTCTCCAAGCTTCATATTTTTCACCTGAACAAAATAACAATAATAGTTCCTACTTTCTAAGATTGTTGTGAGGATTAAATAAAAAAATTCATCTAAAGTCCTTGGCACAGTTGTTGATGCATACTAAGTATTCAATAAATAGTCGCTGCTATCCTTATTTTGGTTTTGATGAGACCATTTCCATATTTAGATATCTTTAACTCAAAACCCATCATATACTTAGATATCCTTAACTTTAAAAAATGAATCCAATCTCTGTAAAACTTAAAGAATATACCACAGTACTGATATGCTCCTAGCAAGTTATGTTGGCCCCTATTAGCTACCTAGGAGCCCTCGTGGCACAGTGGTTAAGAGCTTGGCTGCTAACCAAAAAGTTGGCAATTTGAATCCACCAGCTGCTCTTTGGAAACCCTATGCGGCAGTTCTATAGGGTCGCTATGAGTCAGAATCGACTCAACGGCAATGGGTATTAGCTATCCAAGTTATCCTGCTATAACCAAGAGATTACTCAAGTGGCTCAAAATCTCTTCCCCCCAGGGGGTAGTCGTGATAATGTCATGGGGCATATTCTGGTTTGAAGCAGGGAAATCCCGAACATAAGGCAGCCTGGTAGTTTCCCTTGTTCCCTGCAGCAAGTAAACTTTGTATTTATACACCAAGATGCCCAGATCCTGTGTGGGGAATGAGCCAAACCAGCCAGCAGAAATGCCTTCCTCTCAACGAGCACAGTATAACTGTCCCCAGGGTAATGGGTCAGGAAAGGTTTTTGGTCATTAGCAGAACTATGCTTAGGGATGATAACCTCACCCCATCCCAGGCTGTTTTGTCCAGATTTAGCAGGTCCTCAGTTCAGCTGAGAACTATGAGATTAGAACCCTTGAATTGGATGGTTCTGTCTATCCTGAGCTTACCTGAATGTTTCCACTTTGCCAAGACAGACCAGTAGATCACTTTGCCAAGATACTTAGTCCCTACCTTATGCTTCCTTCCCTACTCTGTACAATTTGTAACAATTATCAATATATCTCCAAATCTCAGTTGAGAAATGACCCATTGAAACGTTATTAGAATGGTTTTAGAAAGTTACTTGCATAGTGTCTTCTTTAGTACTTTGGGAGAAATATACTAAAGAGATAAAATGAACATAAGATAAATAATGTAATCATATCTTCAAGGTACTTTCTAATAATTAATCCTAACCAGCTTTTATTAAAACCCACTAAAGAGAATATAGGTCTCTTCTCATTTTCCCGATGAGGAATGAAGGGAGAAGAGATACTAGCCACAATGGACAGCCAGTCTGCAGCAGACTCAGGAACAGCCTCAGGCATAAAATGCCAAAGGATTTACAGGCTCCCCAGTGAGGACTGTTATCCATCCTATCATGATATGGGAGGTTCTTTACTGGTAAAGGGAATGAAAGCCCTGTTCCCTTCTCCTTGTCTAGCATTGGCTGCTATAAGCCCTGGCCTAGTGGGTGAGAGACTCATCCTGTGGGCAGTTTAGTCCGTTGAATCACCTCCATCTTTTGTTTCTGGCATTCTATTATAATGTCAGTAACTAGGTTATTCTGCACCAGCTTCTGACTCTATGAAAGTCCCAGTGCCAGAAATCAGAGAATATTCCAGTATTTGGTATCCATCACCTAAAAGTTGCACAGACCAAAAACCATTAAAAAATTTTATAAGAGTATAGATCGATATGTCTGTTTTCTAAAGTGGGTTAAACTGAAGTGATAGAAGCAGTATAATGTAATAGTCGCCAAGCATATAGGCTTTAGGCCAAAAAAAGGGCTCAAATTTCAGCTTCACCACTAATTAGCTACATGACTCCCTAAACCAGGGTTTGGCAAACTATAGCACATAAGCCACATCTGGCCTGCTGCCTGTTTTTGTAAATAAAGCTTTACTGGAAGACAGACACGCTCATTTGTTTACATCTTGTCAATGGCTACCTTCACACAACAACAGTAGAGTTGAGTAGGTGTGACAGAAACCACATGGTCCACAAAGCCTAAAATATTTACTTGGACCCTTTACAGAAAAAGTCTGCCAACACCTGCCCTAAGCAAACGGCTCTGCGTCACTAAACCTCAGCTTCCTCATAGGTAAACTAGGGTTAAAACAGTAACTGCTTTAAAGGGCTTTCAAAAAAATGAAATAACACCTAGACAATATTTAAAACAGTGCCTGGCACTCGATAAAGCAGCCAGTAAAGAGTAGCTGTCAATATCATACGTTCTTTTATCTCCTCCTTGTCTCAAAAAAAGGGTATTTCTCTCCTTTTATTCAAGAGCAGTCATGGACCTATATTCTTAATCTCATTCTCTTCCATCTTCTATAATAAACATTCATTGAGCACTTGCTATATGCCAGGCAATGCTGCAGATGCTGAGAATACAAAGATGAACAAGACAAAAATCCTATCAACCTCTATGTCCCCATCAGCTCTCTCTCCCCTTTTCCTTACCGTTGGCCTATCTCTGCACTCCTCATCTTTCATTCCTCAATGTGATCCTACCTCTCTACTTATATAGCTCACATGAAGGTCACCAGTGAACATCCTGCAGTAGTCCTTATCTTACTAGACCTCCCAGCAGCATTTGGCTTTGTTGATTGCCCCTTTTTTCTTGAAAACTTTCCCTGGCCTTCTGAGATGCCACCCCTCTTAGTTTCTTCCTCCCTCTCTGGCTATTCCTTTTCCAGCTACTCCCTACCTAACCTGGTCATTAAATGTGGGTGTATCTCAGGGCTGTGTCCTGGGCCCTCTTCCTATGAATCGCATTTATTCCAAAGGCTTCAGTTACCGTTTGTATGCAAACGACTCCCTCATTTATCTCTCTATTTCGGACTTCACTTCTGAGGTTCAGACTAGCTTATCCAGTTGACAACTAGACATTTTTACCTGGATCTTTCCCAGGGCCTCAAGCTCAACACAACTAACGTGAACTCATCATTTTTCCCTTCCCATTTCCCCAATCTGTTCCATCTCCATTTTCACCATATAGGTAAATGGCACAGCATCTGCCATTTTGCTCAAACCCAGAAGACAGGGAGTCATCCTTAATACCCCTTCACATTCAGTCTGGTCTCAGTTCTACCTCCTTCCTAGATTTCAAACTTGTTCTCTTTTCTTCATCCCGATTGCCTCCTCTCTAGTCTAGCACCACTTCCTCATGCCCAAACAAAAGCAGCAACTTCATAAATGATTTCCTTATATCCACTATTGCCATCTCCCAGGCCATTCTCCACCGGTCACCAGAAGGATGGTTCAAAAATGCAAATCTGATGTCAGGCCCCTGCTGAATACTTTTCAATGGCCTCCCACTGCTTTTAGAATAAAGATAAAAAATTCTTCACAAAGCCTGCAAGCTCCTATATGATCTAGTCCCGATTTCCCCTCTACTGTTATTCTCATGTTATTCTCCTCCTAGTTCTCTATATTTCAAACATAATGTATTTCTCTGAATTCTTCAAAAGTGCCACTGTCTTTCCCATCTTTACACATACAGGTCCTTTTGCCTGGAACGTGCTCCTACACCTCAGATTAAATAATCCTTTTGTCAGAGAGGCCTTTCCCAACTCTCCAGACCAGGTTAGCACTCCTGGTTTACACTCTGTTGGCACCCTGCACGTGCTCAGCCATAACATCAAGCAGACTTTTTCAATGTCTTCTTCCTTCACTGTTCTATAAACTCCACAAAGACATGATCCAGTATTGTCTCATTCACCACAGTATTCCATGATGCCTGGGGCACAGTCTAGGCACTCAATAAATACTAGTCAGAAGAATGAATGCCCTGGTTCCTACCCTCAGCATAAAAACATGTTCAAGCCTTTCCCAATGAACAGAAGTCCTCCTTTAACTCCGTTTCCTTCTCTAGCTGCAGCTCTTTCTCCTTTCCACCACTGTTAAGGATCTGGGAAGAGCAGCCTCACGTACAGTTTCTATCTCACCTTCTAATTATTCTTTCAATGCCCTATAATGTCTTCCATTCCCACTATTCCATTTATTGTCTGTGACAATTAATGGTCAAGCCCACTGTCAAATTTAATGGACACCTCAAAGTTCATTATTTTAACTGGTTTTTCTGTGACATTTGCAATGATCAGCCAGAAAACTTCGTTCTGTTTTTTGTGACATGATCTGTTCTGGTTCCCCTCCCGTGTCTCTGGTTACTTGTCTTCTTTGGTCAACTTCTACTCAGCCCTCAAAAGGTTGTATTCACTAGACTCTGTCCTTAGTCCCCTTCCCCTCTAATGCCATCTCCTGTCCCTAGTAGATATCATCTATTCCTAACAGCTACAACTGCCCCATATACCAATGATGTCTAACTTTTTGTCTTTAGTTCTGACATCCTTCCTAAATTTATAGATTCATATTTCCATCTCTGTACCTATCTATACTCAAATAACATGTCCAGGATTTAGTCAATTATCTTCCCAGCCATCCAAACTCACCCCTCCTATTTTCCTATCTTGGTAAATGGTGACCTGTTTCAGTCTATTGTCAAACCTACCTCTCAAACTGCTCACCAAATTCTGTTTTATCTCCTAAATATTTCTCAAATCCTTCCCTTCCTCACATCTTTATTAGAATGCTCTTAGTTCAGGCCTTCATCATTTTTTATCTAGACTATTACAGAAGCTTCCTAACAGGCCTTTTTACCTATATTTGCCGCATTACTACCAGTATCTTTCTACAACACAAATCTGGTCCCATCACTGTCCTTTTTAAAATAGGCCTCAGTAGTTCTCCATTGCTTATAGAATAATGTCCAAACTCCTTAATATGGTGTTTGAGGATCTGACCTCTGACCTGCTTCCTCTAAACAAGCACTCTATACTACTGCCATAGCAACCATAATGAGTTTCTCAAATGTGCCATGCTCTTTCAGGCCTTTGAGTCTTTGCATATGCCTGTTTGGTAAACTCTTACTCTTTAAGACTCATCTTATGAAACCTTCACTGAATTACCAGGCAAGCTCCCATTCCTGGCTTGCCAAGACCTTTAAGATCTCTCCATTTTGGTCTCCCACAATTCTCTCCTTGAATTTTGGGCTCACACCAAAGTTCCTTCAGTTGCCATATGCACACTTTCCATCCTTGAACCTATGTTGGTCCCTTTTCATGGAACCCGTTTACCTCAATGAATTCCTTCAAGCCTCTTGGCTCCAGCTGGGAAACTTTCCCTACATAAGATTAATTCTTCCTACTTGTCCTCCCATAGCCCCCAGTACCTCGCACTTCAAAGCCCTGAGGCTTTATTATTATTGCTTTAAGTGTCTGACCTCCTTGCTAGACTGAAAACAGTGTGAGGGCAGTGACTAACTGTTGCCTATCTAGCTCACTGGAATATCTCTGAGCCCAGCAGAGTGCTGAACAAAGATGCTTAGTAAAAGTTTATTGAATAAATGTGCCTATGTATCTGTCTTCCTCACTTGACTGTGAGCTCCCTAAGGGCAGGGACTGTGCCTTATTCCTTTGTGCCTGATATTATTTTAGGGGGTGGCAAGCAATCTTTGATGAATGGTCATATGATATATGTGGTATCTATCACATCTTGCCATCAAAGTCCCTATGTACCATGGGTTTGATTTAACATGTTATTCCTTGAGTTCCGTGTTATCAGACATATTCCAGCAAGCATCCACATTGGCTTGGCTTTATTCGGCGTCGTCATTTCTTCAGTTCTTTGAGCAGAAAAACACCAATATCCTAAATTTGTGCAAGAATCATCTTGGAGACAAAAGGTTGGATCTTGAATTTCCTTGATTCCCAAAGCTCTTGAAGCCATGGCACCGAACCTAACCACTTACCGCTTGAGAGGCCATCATTTCATTTATACTCTGTTCATACTGCTCTGCCAAAATGGCAAGTTTTCTCGTCTGCTCATCTTTCAGTGTCTTTAAGATTGTTTTGTGCTCATTCTTTGGAGTAACTTCCAACTGGTGATTCTTGAGTGCTTTATACTGTTTGGTCTGTACTTTGCAAGTGTCCTGAAACTGTTTTTTAATTTGCATTTCCATGGCCTGTGTAGAAAAAGTGACAAAGGAAAAATAAAGACACATCAGAATACAGAAAGCCTTCCATTCTAAAGACAAACAATACAGTGCCTGGACCATCTGTTTTTTGGTGCAGTGACCCATATTGTTAGTTTACAATAATGAAAATAATACATATGACACACATAGGCATTAACTCTACCAACACTTTTGGTTTTATATTAAATGAACAGAAGTAATTTGGAATTTACATATGGCTTCAAAGAAAAAATAAACTGTTCCAAGGGAATGACAACTCTACCCAGACTGCAGAAGATTACTGAAGCTTAGCATGTTAAAAAGTTGGCCATTATTTTATTGGTTTCTTAGGCAAAGTCTTCAATATGTTCTCTTGCTGGTTTTTTTCCCCCCACTTTCCCCCCATTTCCAAGTGAGAAAGGGGATGACATTATATAAGCCAGTTCTCACTGTTCTGGCTTATACCATTTCCTTGACAAATCAATAAAGGAGAACATCTGGATAGTGCTCCACATCTTAATCCATTTCCACTGGATTTTAGTATACACTAATAGGGAAAAGTGATTTTAGATACATATTTTTTAACTAATAAGAGGCTGCACTTGATTGTAGCAATATCAGACATGCATTTTGGCAAGGAGAAGGTAGGGTGTGTTATTCAAGGCTAGAAGACATCCCACCAGGTTGCCTCATAGTCACATGTGCACTTCATGAACACACTGAGGACATATGATGATTGGGATCACTAAATTAGACAGGATTTGGTTAGAAGAGTGTGGCCAATAATATTACTGCGGTTGGCCTTGTATCTGTGCCAACAATGATAATATCCTCCCTACATATAGCAATAGCTTAGTCCATATAGCTTGTTAATTATCAGGCAGCTGAAATTATCTTGAGGCAGTGAAGGCCAAAGGAATTTCTCAACGTACATTTCTAGTGCAGGGGCAGGAAATACCTGTCACAGGTAGATTTATTCCTGACTCCTGTGTCCATAACAGATATCAGTAATCAATCATACTCTTTCCAGGAGCACTCAAGGTAGCTACTACCAATAATCTGACTGGCATGAGAGATGAAATTTATCTGTCATATACCTGCCAAGTAACTTCCTTATTTCCTGGGATTAGAACCACTGCTACTAGTCCAAATTTTAAAATTTAAAGAGGGCAGGTCATGAAGAGGTCAGAGAAATTACATAATGGATATAAAGAGAAACTGAGAGATCATCTAGTACAATGGTTTCCAAACCAGCTTTCCCAGCAGCATCTCTTCAGGAGCCTGTTAAATACAGATTCTTGTCCTTCACATCTGGAGATTCTGATTCAGTAGGTGTGGGGCTCAGAAATTTGTAATTTTAAAAAGTTGCCCAGGTACCTGTGACAATTAGCCAGGTTTAGGAACCACTACTCCAGTCCAACTGTGTTCTGTACCACAAATATGGAAATACTTCTATTTCTTCTTACCTTTAAGTTTTTTGGCTGTTGCCGGAGTTCCATGACATGCTTTCTGTGCAGTTCCCTTTCTCGCCTCTTGTTGTACTCCAACTGGTTTTCCAGTTCGGTCTGGTGCTGTAGACGGATCAGATCCATGCGAAGCTTCTGTAACGTGTGCAGCTGCCTGTACTCTAGCTCTCGGGTGGACTCATCGTGCCGGATTAGCATGGCATGCTCCATCTCCTTCTGGGTCCTCTTTTTATTTAGTTCCTGCATTCAGGAACAAAGACAAATGGAGAGAGATGAGTGGAGATGAACTGGAAGGAATGTACAACTAAGTAAGGATGGCAAGGAATGGCATGGCTAACTGTCTCTTAATTAAGCCCATTAGTATTTGGCAGCATAATTTAATGGGATTAGATTAGCAATCCCTGGAGATTTAGGTTCTGTTCTTGGGCCCACCACTTACAAGATGGGCAACTTCATAGCAGTCACAACTGTACTATCTATAAAATGGGAGTAATGCTACCTGATCCCTTCATATCTCACAGAACTGCTGTAAACTTTAATCAGGTGACGTGTTACGCGTAGATGCTAAACAAATGTTGCTTCAGTGAAGCTAGTGGTTCTCAACTCTGGTTTGCCACTGAAATCACATCGGGGAAGCTTTTAAAACATAAGATACCTGAATCCCACAACCTGAAATTCCACTAATTGGTCTGGAGTGGGCCCTGACATCAATAGTTGTAGGAGTTCTCCAGGTGATTTTAATATGCAGCTACGGTTGAGAATCACGGAATTAAACTGATAATGCCTGAGATGTTCTTAGTTTTCTGGGAAATGCCCTGTTTTTGCATGTATCAGAAGTAGGACAACTATCTATTTTTTAAAATCTCAGAGGTCAGGGCTTGCTGGGAAAAAGCAGATGAGATCTCTCCCCTTCCATCTTTTCCATTACAGTCTGATCTTTTCTAGATCTATTCATTCTGTTATTTCCAGTGCTACTTATGTCTGTCTGTCCTTTTTTTTTTTTTTTAAATTGGGGCAAGGAAAGGAAACTAGAGGGAAAAAAGAGAAAAAATGAGTGGCATTTTTTTCATTCACCAATTCAAGAATATTTTCTGACTAGCACTACATACAAAGATCTGAACCATGTGCTCTGGGTACATAAAAAATATTTACTAAGCCACAACATCTGTCCTCAAGTTGCTAATACTCTAATGTTGTGTGCCGTCAAGTCAATTCCAACTCATAGAGACCCTATGTGACAGAGTAAACTGCCCCATAGGGTTTCCTAGGCCGTAATCTTTATGGAAGCAGATTGCCGGGTCTTTTCTCCCACTGAGCAGCTGGTGGGTTCCAACTGCTGACCTTTGGGTTAGCAGTTGAGTGCTTAACCACTGTGCCAGGGAAGTGTAATAGACATTTATTGGAGTATATGCTCAGCTAACAGCTGATGCAATCAGAGGTACACAGGTGACCCAACCTCTACCAATCTATTTTCTCTCCTAGGAAGTTGAAATTGAGATTCAGAGACAGTTAATCTCCACATGTGACTGGAATTGAGGGACATATGAGAACTACATATGTGATAGCCATCCACTGCTGTGAGGGCTGAGGATCAGAGACAGCTGGGCTTCAGAGCAAGAAGAAAGAAAAAGAGAAAAACAAGTACAGGGAGTATATTGATGCCTAAGTTCCAGACTGGTTTATAAGCCCTTCTGTAGGCCCAGTGGATTCCTGCTATTGGGTTTTATGAGATAATCCTATAGCAAACTCCCTGGTTTTAGCTTAAGTTAGTTCAAATAAATTTCAGTTAATAGGCAATCAAAAAGAACCTTAATTAAGGTTGTTTTTGCTTCTGCTGTTGTTCTTCTTGGAAGCAGATCCCTGAAGTACTTCAGTGGCCAATACTTTGCTAGTCTAATTTGAGGTTCCCTGTTTAATTTTATGTAATAATGTTACGTCTTTTTGTTTTTTTTTAAGAACCTTAAGGGCTATAAAAGAGGTAAAGATTTGATGCTATCAGATTTCCAAAAAGGGTGGTATTACTACTAGTTAGGAAAGTCAAGGAGAGGAGAAAGCATCTGAGCTAGACTTTAAATCAGAACAATAGGGTGTCTCCTCTGATAGCATCCACTATGGGAGGAAATGCAAGTCACTAATTTTCACAGAAATATCAGTAACATTTACAAACTGGTGTGGTTCAGAATATCTTGCATACTTGGGCCTCTATTTATTTGAAAAGAAGTACTTTAAACAGCACAGCAGCTATTACCAGAGCACAGTCACTAAGTATTCATTTATTTATTCAAAAATATTTGTGCAGCATTGTGTTGGGCATTGTTGTGAAGCAGTGAACAAGTATAACCCACATGGAGCTTAATTTCTAGCAAGGAAATATCTGAAGTATAAATAAATAAGTTTGTTTTAAGGAATAAAAGATAATTTTAGAGCATCTTTCCCCCTCCCCCCCCCCAGCATTTTTCTGTTCCTTGTTTTATTTTTTCTCTTTACCTGGACCATCAAGTGTTCTTCTTTCAAAAATCACCAACTGGCCCCTAGGTGGCACCACAGGACAGTGAGCCGTTCCCAGGGACTAAAGCTCTCCCAGAGCAATGATCCAGAGAAAGCTAAGAAAACCCTCTAAAGTGGCTAAAGGTCCTGTTTCTAAGGTTGCTATGAGTTGGAATCGACTCAACGGCAATGGCTTTTTTTTTTTAAATATCATCTTTCTTTGAGTAGCAGGGGCCCCAAAATTGGACAACAGAACATCCCATACTTTTCTAAAGTGAGAAGTCCAACCTGAGTCTGAGGTCTGAGCTGCCCAGAACCCTGAAGCTCTTGGGGCGGGGGGAGGGAGGGGAGAGGCAGATAAGAAGCAAACATGTTTTGGAAGAAATCACATGCTCCTCTTTATGCTTAATAGGATGTTCTAGGATGTTGTCCACAGAATACCTGCATCAGATTTACCTGGGTCTCAAGTGATTGGTCTTTATAACAAGCTACCAGGTAATTCTGATATATATTAAGTTTGAGAATCAATAGAAAAATCTTCAGGGTGTGAGTCAGGAGACATGAGTGTCAGTTTCAGCTCCTCCACTGACTTCAGTATGGCTTTGGGCAAATCTCTTAATCTACATTTTAGTTTCCTCAAGTGTAAAGTGAGGATAACAGAACCCACCATGTCCTAACATTCTTGTAAAGATTAAATAAAATAACGTGAAAATGCTTCAAAAGGTAGAAATATACATCAGTATTATTTTTCTGTATTCAGAAATGAATTATCTAGCATATAATATCTTCAGTGTTGTTTCTATAAACTATTAGCAGAGTAAGAGAGAATCAAGATACTGAAATGAACAACTCTAGGTTGTTCCTTTTACCTTTAATTCATACGTCTGAGTTACTGGGGTGTAAGATGGTAAGCTGCCTATAATATTTTAAACTATGGGGGAAAAAAATTATTCAGTGTAAGATGAGCCTAGTGCTGTGTCTATATAATAATGAGTAATGTGCTTTAAAATTTTCAGTGGGATTTCATTTACCTCATTCAGTCCTAACTGCAACCCTATGAGGCAGTAAGACTGCAAGCGTTTACCATTTTATACGTGGTAACAAGGCATTTGGAAATTGAGAAACTAATAGGTCATATAAGTTCCACAAAGCAGAACTGGGACTAAAACTCAGATTTTTAGATTTTCAATATTGTTCATTAAAAGACATCCCAACAAATGGCTTCTATCTTCCTGTTTTATGCTTTTTCAGTCTAGGATACGGAAGAATTTCGATGCAACGACGGCTTCATCTGCACGAATGACAGAACGTAGAGTAGAGCCACATCACGTGCACCTTTAGCTGATGTAAATTCAACACATAGCTGAGCAGAAATTTAAAAAACAAAAATGAAAATGATGATACAGGTGATTCTGCCACGAGGGCACTCAATGTGCATATGCCCTGGAGGGAGCTAAGATGAAGGACACGAAGCTCCCTTTCCCCCAGTCCACATTTCACACTGTGAGCACCTTGCCAAGCTTACTGTGAGCTCAGTATTGAAACATACACCCTTTTCTAACATGTGCACACAACATGGCCCCCAAACACCTTACCATACTGTATGTCAACCTCTTGCCTGTGTAAAATGTGGCTCCAGGGTGTGTCCCCGAACATTCTCTCCCTAATCATGTTTCAAGCATTCAATTTTAAGTTTCAATGGAAGTGGTACTGATGTCTTTAAAAGCAGCCCATCTCACTCACGTCAAAATTTTTGTCCTCAAGCCTGTCGAGGTTGAGGAAGAACTAGAATTCAGACTTGTAAATGGAGATGTTGTTAGCCTATGACATGCAATGCTTTCTTAGTTTCAATAACTGGTTAGATAATGTATGCAGTGATGATAGAGTGAGAGGCTCAACCACGTCTGTGGTGATCCTTTTAAATATTCTCATTAATTAGAAGGATTGCTAATACCCAGTTTTGCCAAAGATATTGGAAAATAGACATTCCTGTGCTTTGTTGATGGATGTATAAATTGGTACAACCCTTTTAGGGAACCATTTAGCAACCTCTATTTAAAATTTTAGGTATCTATACTCCTTGACCCAGAAATTCCACTTTCTACAAAAATACTTGCATGTGTGTAAAAACATCTACGTACAAAGATGGTCTCTGTAGCATTGTTAGTAATACTGTAAAACTTCAACAAACTGCTCACTGAGAGGTGCCTCATTAAAGAAACGATTTTACAACAAAATACTATTAATGATTAAAAAGAATGAGGCACAGCTGTATGTCTAATATGGTAAATGGGGGGGGAAGAGTAACAAAACACTATAGTGGACATCTGTCATTTTTGTAGGTTCATCATCAGTTTCCCCTTCTTTTGTTAACTGGCTCCTTTTTTTGTATTGAGAAATTACTCCACACTATCCGGAATCAGGGAAACAGTTGGGCAAGGGGTAGGCACATTACCCCGCGAGGTTCAATCTCTCCTACAAATATGAATTTTGGGCAGAACTGATACAACGACTAAAAATGACTGGAGTAGATTCATCCAAATGGTAGGGAGCTTTTGCTCCCGGGTCACAGAAGATGCTTTTCCGGCTTGGCTCTTCATCTTTTCCAGCTCGGTTCTTCAGCTCTGTCATCTATCCCATATCCTTCCAATAAATTCCTTTCCAGGCTTAAGCCAGTCAGAGTTTGTTTCTGTTGCTTGCAAACCAAATACATACTGACAGTAATGTGATCTCAATTTTTGTAAATTTAAAGTTATATATCATATATAAGCTATATGTATGTATACATGTATATAGGGGAAAAATCTGGAGGTATATATACCAAATTAACGGTGACCTTCTCAGGGTAGAGCCTGTGTGGAATGGGATTATCAAGAACGTTCACTATGCAACATTTTATTTACACACACACACACACACACACACTCACACACACACACTTCTAAATTTGCCTCTGGAATAAGTCTAAACAAAGGAAAATCTGGGCTCTTAAGAAAAAATACCCTTATAATTAATTATTCTTAGCTCAATTGGTTAGAACCTGATACTAATGAAGTCACAAATGTCATTTCTATAATTTTTGAAGAGTCACTACCTTCTACAGCTTTTATTGACACTAATTGTCTACTTAGTTTAAATCTTCCTTCAAATATGTCATTAGAATAACAATAATAATTGCCCGGCATTTTTAATATTAATAATTGCCAATACCTTATTTCCAACTGGCTATTGGACTTTTTCTCGTTGAGTATTTTGCCTTCTGAAAAACTCAACGTGTCTAGTTCTGAACTCATCATTTGCTTACTAAAACTTCTAAGTTTCCCTGTTTCCGCCCACATCCACAATTCCCCAAGTCTCAAACACTAGAAACAATTTTGATTCTACGTTCATCTTTTCTCCTCATATCCTAGTGTATGTCATCTCCTGTTTATTTTATACTTCAAAATATGTTCCAAACCTACCTTTCTTCTGACAGTTACCCCCACCATCCTAGGCCGCATCCCATTTCCTAGTCTCTTTCCTCTAATCCAGTGTTTCTCTACTTTTTTTCCCATTATTGCCCCTGTAGGGAGGCTACCCCCCACCAGTTGCCTTCCCCACCCCTGAAATTTTTAATACCACTGTATATATGTTTATGTACTGTGGCCCTTCGGGAGGCCACAAACCATTGTAATATCTAAGATTCTCCCTCTCCTCCAAGGAACAATTTTCTCCCCCTTGGGGACAATATTGCCTCATTGAAAATACAAGCTCTAATCCTGACTGTGTGCCACAGCCAAACTAGGCTAATCTCTGTGGAGTAAGCTTTTAGCTATATCACTGCCTGGCTCAAAAATGTTCAGTGATTTTCTCCCCCTTCCAATAAGATAACATAGATAAAGAGCTTGAGCGTGGCCTATAATAATGTGTTTGACAAATTTTCGTTTGCTTCACCCTTTTTTTTTTCTATTTGAATCAAACCCACTGCCGTCCAGTCGATTCCGACTCATAATGATCACATAGGGTTTCCAAGGCTGTAAATCTCTTTGGAAGCTGACTGCCACATCTTTCTCCCATGGAGCCGCTGGTGGTTTCAAACCACTGACCTTTTGGTTAGCAGTCAATCGCTTTAACCACTGCGTCACCAGGGCGCCTATTTGAATACTGCTCTCCAAAAAAGATAATACAGTGAAAGCTGTGAGAGACGCAACTTGACGGGACTACCTAATTTTTCTGGGTTTTGCAAGTTTTCCGCCTTTGACAGGGTTCAGTCTTACCACTTTTCTGTTGCTTTCTATTAGTGGAAAATATTTGCGTTTTCCTTCTGTGATAGGTTTCCGCCTTCCACAGGTTACGGCTTTTGCAGGTTTTACCGTATATCATTAGCTGCGCATGAAGTGCTTGTTTCCCCTCATGCCAGCTAACACTGGGTTTTAGCAAACTTTGACATTTTTATCAATGTGCTAGCCAATTTACGAAGTTTTCCCTGATTATGCCAGATCACGCTGATTTCCTGTTGAACTTAGTATCTGCAACTGTCTTCCTTATCTCAGTTAATGCCATCATATCCAGCTACTCTCCCAAACTGGGAATTTTGAAGTCATTTTTGACTCCACCCTCTTCTGAAATTCCCACATCCATTTGGTCAAAAATTACTGTCTGTTCTGCTTTAGAAATGTCACTCAGCTAATCTCCTCTCTCTATCCCCACTGCCTCTTCCAGACTAGAGCTAGAGAAAGAGCATCCTAGCTGACCTCACAGTGCTTTGCTTCTCACTACTCCAGCCTAACCCTCACACTGATGGACTAATTTTTCAATTAAAAAAAAAAAAAAAATCTCATCATGTCACTCTCCTGCTTAAAAACCTCTGATGGCCCTGCTCTGTTTTCAGGCTAAAATCTAGATCCTTGCTTTAACAAAAAGCCTCTCCATATTCTGCTCCCAACTACTGATGTTTGGACACTCCAGTCCACACACCCAGAACTCTAACCACACTCAGCTTCTCATCAATCACTGCATACTCCATGCCCTTTCATGATTATATGATCATGATTATTTATACATCTGTTATTGTAATACCTCACATATTATATTGTAATTAATCCGTTACATGTCTGTTTCTCCTATTAGACTTAGGGCTACCCAAAGGCAGGGAGTATAGCTTCTCAGTAGACCTGGTGTCTAGCACAGTGCCTGGCACCTAGGAGGCACTCAGGAAGTGCTGGATGGCTGAACGAATGAACTAGTTTGTAGAGCATCACAGTGTTATTTAAGTGTTTCATGTGGAGTCACAGAAATGCAAGTCCTTGCCAAGTATGTTGAAAGCAAAAATTCTCTATTCTACTTTTTTTGATTCTCCGTGCGTGATTTGGCTTATAATAGGTGTTCAATAAAATTCTACTGCAATCATTTTGGAAAAGGTGATTCCTTATTCTGCACGTGGGCTTTCTCTTATCAATAGTAAATTCATTCACTGACTTTTTCAGTATACCTACTCTGTGCCAGGCACTATGCTAATGGCTAAGGAGGTAGGAATTGAACAAAACAGACATGGTTATGACCCTCACAAAGCCTACTGTCTTGCAAATCAATGACAATCATTATGAACATAATTGTTACCTCCCGAATGTTCTGCTGTTCCACCTCGTGCCGCTTGATCATTATTTTCCGCTTGAAGAAACGACAGTTTTTGTCATAGTACAGTCTCTGTTGACTGAGAAGGTGGGCTTCCTCTTCAGCCTGTGTGTGCTGCAAGTTCTCTTTATGCTTGGATATCCGCTCTTGCTTTTCTTTCTTGGGTGTGCTATGGTCCTCATTCATTTCCTTTACAAAAAAAGAAATAAAGAAAAACAAAGCCAGTTCCATTAAACAAAAGGAACTATAACAGCTTAAATTATTTAGAACACAAATGAATGTAAGGGCAGAAAGACTTCGTGTTGCACATCCCTCCCCCCATTTTTTAAATCAGTCAATTAACTGAGTAATAAATGAGAGGAAGACTTGTTAGTTTCCATGTCTCTGGCTTCTCACTCTCAGAAATTATTTGTTCACTCATTTGATCAACACACACTTACTGAGTTCCTACCACATGACAGGCACTGTGCATACAGGTGCAAGGATACAACGGTGAACAAAAGACCATGTCCAGAGTCAAAAATTAATCAAAGAACCATAGAAATTAACTGAAAATTGCTGTGATAACTGCTGGGAAGGGGAAGTATTTGGCCTTACAAGAAAAGATTTGAGTTTGGTAACAACTAAGCTGAAATTTGAAAAAACTGGTAGGAGCTAACCAGTGGAAAAGGAGAGGGAAGACTACTCTGGGTAGAGGAAACAGCAGGTGCAAAGCTCTTAAGGTCGGGGAGGAAACAAGGTGCGATCAAGAAGCTGCAAGTAGGCCAGGGCGGTCGGTGCAGTGTGACGTCTGGCGAGGCTGTACAGGCAGGCAGGATGAGTAGCCGTCTTATAGGCCAAGTTAAGGAGAAATGGGCTTAAATATATGGGCTTATTATGACATGTATTTCAAAAAGACGACTGTGGCTGCTATGTGGAGAACAGAAGGAAGGAGGCAAAAGCAGATACACGGAGACAGCTGGGAGGATACTGCAATAGTCCAGGCAAGAGAAATGATAGCACCTTGGACAAAGGTGGTAGTGAAAAGACAGAGAGAAGGGGACAAGTTCCAAAGACAGAAGGTAACTGCAAATGTCACTAGTTTGAATTTCATGATAAAGTATTCTTTATTTGTGATCAGAAGGGTAAATAAACCACCTATATTTTCAAAAGGACAAAACTCACAATTATCCCACACCATATGGGTAAAGGGAATAAAGCAGTGAATCGTAACAGCCAAGAAGATGTTAATCTATGAGTAAAGTAAAAAGATCACTTTTAGAGAAAATGTAATGTATTCCTCTTTGTCCATACTCACTTGCTTGACCTATCATATTTGGTTACTACTCCTTTAGTTGAAATACCCCTTAATTGTTAACATCTATTTAATGTTTTGTGATACAGATTTCACTCACTACTTAGATTATTTTTGCATTTAGCTATGAAGTCTTTGTAATAATCAACTTTCGCCTTTCCTATTCTATGAGTGAGATCTTAGAATCAACATGAGGAGAAGCTGTTCCCAGCATGGAGTAAGCTGGGTTACAACAGGAAGGCTGGGCAACTCCTCTCTTCATGCCATACCTCACTATTAGGTTTGGTATCAACCACTAGACTGCATACCCATATTCAATAATGATCAGAAAAATTAACTCCAAAATCTAGAGTAAATTACTTCCGGACCAGCCATCATTCTGTATAACCCACACTCCTGTTATCTATCAGCAGTAGGAATAATGGAGATTGTTTTGTCATTCCCAGGACAATAGCTTTGAGTATATCAGCATCTAAATATGCATGCTACTTTAAGTGGTCTGAAGTAAGCTTTACTTCATAAGGAGTAATACTGACTCTGCACAGAAAGGTTTACTGAGGCTATCTCGAATTGGCTTTAGGCATGCTTTTCTTCATGAACATGTTGAAAGACTTAGAAGTTTAGGTCTGTGGTCTCTTGGGTTTATAAATCTGAGTATGGTGAACCAAAAATAACCTATGCCTGAGGACTTAGTCCAGACTCTCAAATGCTGTTCTACGGGAGAATTTTTGAAAAGTAGAGTTCATGGAATCTCCAAATACCATAGCGTTACAAGAGCGCACAATGGCAGACACAGTCATAAAGTATGGCCTTTAGGGCATGAGTGAACACATGGAGGTAGAAATAAGAAGGTAGTTGCAGCTGAGAAAATTTCAACATATCTTACTGAAAAAAATCAAAGCTATCCCTCTAATTTGGCAACATTCTTCTACTATTGTATAGTAATTAGGCTCAAGCCAATAACTAAGAGAAAATGGAGAGGATGTGAACCTTCTTAATTGGGCTATTTCTCCTTATAGCCTGGCTTTCTAGACCTTACAGTGCCAGAAATTCGTTCCATTCAGCCAGTGTGGACCAAATATAATTTCCTGTCAGGCCCAACAATTCTCAGTGGCAATCAAATTTTTTTTAATGTGGCTCACCTGGGTAGGGCAAAATATCCTGAGGCTCACCCCAACCCACTTGTTTTCACTTCCTAATTTAAAAAAAATTGGAGAGGAATCTGGCTAAGTCCCCTATTGTTAACCTATAAAAGGAGAATTTGAGCCCGAACACGTAATTTTATACACTAAAACAATGCCCCATTTGAATTTTATTAAAGCTTAATATACTTAGTAGTCTACAAATAAGAAATCCTAAGTCTTATGAGAAGGAAAGTCTATGGAACTGTAGACAATTCACCTGTAAGAACTGGTAAAAGGAAAACTGAAGAAAGTAGAACTTTCATATCAAATTGCAGTCCCTCGGGAGGACTCTCTAAGTCCACTAGTGGTTCTTCAACCAAACACTCAAGACTCAGTCATTCATTTATCAAATATTCACATGTACTAGGCACAGGGTTACAGTGGTGAGCAAAACAGATGTGGTCTCTGCTCTTGTGGCACTTACCAGCTAGGAGGGTAAGTAGACTAAGTAGCTCAAATAATAATGAAAAAAAAGTATAATTAAAAACTCAACTATTATGAAACTAGAGGCACTGGTCTTGGTCAAGGCAGTCAGGAAAGCCTTCCCTGGGGAAGTCACATTTGAGTTAAGTTCCTAAGAAAGAGTCCTAAGTCTTATAAGGAGCAGGAGTAGGAATTAACTAAGCAGTATTGTGGTTGGGGAGGAACTAGGTGGGAGGAGAGCATTGTGGCAGCATGAGCAAAGACCTTGAAGAAAGCTGGAGCTTGATATATTCGAGGAACTGAAGGGACCATTGTGGCTGCAGTAGTGAAGAATGAGGGCGACTGGTGAAAGATGAGGCTGGAGGGGTAGGCTGATAGCAAACCATGTAGGGACTAGCAGGATTCTAATCTATCCTAAGAGTGATGGGAAGCCAATGGATGATTTTAAGCAAGGGGTGATATGACTAGGTTTATGTTTTGAAAAGATAATTTTGGCTGAAGTAAGAGAACAAAGAAAGCAAGAATGGTTTCGAATTAGACCAATGGTTCTTGATGAGTGGTCCCTGGATCATAAGCATCAGCATCACCTGGGAACTTGATAGAAATGCACATTTTATAACTCCACCCCAGACCCATTGAATCAGAAAATCTAGGGGTGGGGCTTACCAATCTGTTTTTAATAAGCACTTTAAGTAATTCTAATACAAAGTTTAGGAACCACTGGATTAGACACAATGCAAGATGAGTCGATTTTAAGCTCCAACCACTCTAATGGTAATGTGGTGACTACAAATATTGGTACACTTACCTCTTTTATTTTTTCCTTACAAATCTTATACTGCTTCTTCTGACTTTCTAAGAAAGTTGTCAAGTCTTTCTTCTGCTGGGCCAAGATCTGTTGCTGGAACTTCTTCTCATCTGCTGCAGCTACCTTTGCCTGATAAAATAACAAATACAATCTAGGATGAATCTGTTCATCGCACAGAATTTGGCTGACTATAATTTTCCAAAGCATTTAAAACAGAGTCCATAAGTGCTAAATCATGCAATAATTTTTTGAATGAATAATAAAAAAACAAAGAAATGTCTGTCCTGATTCTCTTGTACCTTACATGAAAAAGAATAATATTGAACTTTTTTTTACCATTGAAAAATACATTCCCAATTATGGGAAAAATATGAAGGTAGACAATAAACATTTTTATTAAACACAAATAATATGTGGATGAAATGAGAACTAAGGATTAAAATAAAGGATTTTTATCATATTGTTGGTAGGCCAAGGATTAAATTATAAAAATGGATAAATAACCATGACTGGCCAGTTTTATTCAAAGAATCAAACTCTAACCGATTAATTATTCTAACCATCAGATTTCCTAGTGGATCTCTAGTACAATAGGCAGAGCTAATGACATTTTGTTTTCTTGGGCACCTGCTGCAATCCACAATAGTTAGACACCATGACATTTTTGGGACTCCTAAATGGATAAAACAATGTAATCCAATAAATATTAGCTCCTAAAAGTGACTACATCTAAATTTAAGGGAACTATTAGATGAAACACATACGTAGGAAAAGAGACATAAGAGACGGATAGAAAACTATCCTTCCTGGTTCCTTTTATGTATCTTTTCAGCTTTAGCCTCCATTATCAACCAAACAATGATCTCCCCACATTTACCACGTCAAATTTCCAAGAAGGATCTCAACACCATCACTGTTTGGACAGAGGTTTTCATGCCAGACTGCCTCATAGATTGATGGTTATTGGAGGAATGCTTCTTCCACAGTTCTGATGTCTCCTTCCATGTGGTGAGGGTGAGCGGAATTACTGAAACACCCCTGGCACCCTGTCCCCAGTTACTTCATCCCCAGGGAGCACATGTGCCTCTGCTTTTCCATGCTGTGTAAGTCTCATGGGGGGTGGCGAGGAAGGGACTTGGTTTAAGCACTGCCAGTGGCTGGGTAGGCAAGTCTGTTTAACTTTGTTCAGTATTATTAGGCCCGCTATCCTGCAGACACAAATCATTTTACCAGTCTAACACTTACCAGTAATAAAGGTGATATTTTGACTATCTCCCTTACTCTTCTGTTCTATTTTAAAAATTAGTTTAAAACCTGGATAGGGGAAAGAGATTCTCCCTAGAAACCCCAACAATGGCCAGCTGCTCATCCCTAGTCCAATCAGCTGAAGGCAGGGACTATGACCCCTAAAAGAGACTATTTGTAGAGCAGTTTCTTTTTTTGTACACAGACTCCCATCAAATGTCTGGTGCTCAGAATATTTCTGAATGAAAAAGAATGCAACTTACATCTTTAGTTATCATTTTAGCTTTTAATGACAATTTTAAGTAATTCCATAAAACCTGGAATGCTCCACCCTGCCCCCAAACCAACAATGTGCCTCCATCACCAAAAAGCACACCACTCCTGCCTCTTGGTAACATTCTTCCACTGACTGGAACAGGATTGGCTTGGTTGTGGCACAAAGGCATGTGTGCATATACTGACCTCTTTTTCTATGATAGCCACTTGCTTCTTGGCCAGCTTCTCCAGCTCGATGGATGAGTTGTTGGCATGCGTCTCCACCTCCTTCTGTAGCTTGAGGCGGTGCTCGTCCATCTCAGCCTTCAGCTTGTTCTCCAGGGCGATCAGCTGCTTCTGGTGCTGGCGCCGCATCCGCTTATAACCTGACATCTGTTCCCGCAACTCGTTCTCCTGCTCATGCTCATGGATCTGCCGTGTAACCTGGATTGGGTCGGGGAACAGAACTCAGGTGACCAGACTCATGCGAGACAAACTTTCAGGCAGAGTAGAAGAGCCTAAAGAATACGTGCAGTTCTTCATGCCCTCTAGCACGATTTTCTTTTATAATCACCACCATCACAATACCTACTATGTACTGAACACTCACCTGTACCAGGCACTGTGCTGGGTGCTCTTTATGTACTTTATCCTAATCCTCAAAACCACCTTATTCACTCATTCATCTTAGTCATTCATGAAGTAGGTGTTTCCACTTCTGTTTTATAGATGAAGAAGCTGAGACTTGAGGGAATTACTTTATTCATTCAGTTAAAATAGGTTTACATATTTATTTATTTATTTTTATTGTACTTTAGATGAAGGTTTACAGAACAAATAGTTTCTCATTAAACAGTTAGTATATATACTGTTTTATAAAACCCCACGACATGTCAACAGTCTCCCTTCTCAACCTTGGGTTCCCTATTACCAGCTTTCCTGTCCCCTCCTGCCTTCTAGTCCTTATGCCTGGGCTGTTGTGCCCCATTAGTCTCATTTTGTTTTACGGGGCTATCTAATCTTTGGCTGAAGGGTGAACCTTGGGAGTGACTTCATTACTGAGCTAAAAGGGTGTCTGGGGGCCATACTCTCGGGGTTTCTCCAGTATCTGTTAGGCCAGCAAATCTGGTCTTTTTTTGTGAGTTAGAATTTTGTTCCACATTTTTCTCCAGCTCTGTCCAGGACCCTCTGCTGTGATCCTTGTCAGAGTAGTCAGTGGTGGTAGCCGGGCACCATCTAGTTGTAGGTTTACATATTTTTGATATGCCATAATATATATATTCGAGGTCACTTAGCTAATAAGGAGTGAAGTTGGGGTTCAGACGCAATTCTGTCTGATTCCAGAGCCATGCTATAGCCAATGTACTGGAATTTCTCAACTTTGGCACTACTGACATTAGGCTGCATAATTCTTTGTTGTGAGGAGTTGCCCTGTGCATTGTAAGATGTTTAGTCACATCCCTGGTCTCTATCCACTAGAAGCCAGTAGCACCTCCCAAGTCATGAAGTAGAAAATGTCTCCAGACATTGCCAAACGTCCCCTGAGGAGGGGGACAAAATTGTCCCTGGTTGAGAACCACTGCATTATATCATACTGCCTTTTTTTTTTTTTTTTAAAAAAGGATCATGTCTCTAACAGTCATGTTGTTGCTGTTAGTTGCCATCAAATTGATTTCGATTCATGTGACCCCATGTGTGCAGAGTAGAACTGCTCCATAAGGTTTCCAAGGATGTGACCTTTTGGAAACAGATCACCAGGCCTTACTTCTGAGTTACCTCTGGGTGGGTTCAAACCACCAACCTTTTTGGTAGTAGTTGAATGCTTAACCATTTGTGCTATCCAGGGACTCTTACAGTCATAGGAATCTTGAATATCCTTTCAAAATAGTCTAAACTATTTTAATTTACTTTCTATTTTTAATATGAGTTGAGACAGAGAGAGAACTCTGTCCTTTTAAAGCACCTGTCCATCCCTCCACTCCCCCACAAAAGAGATGTTAACAACTTACAGTACATTTACTTGGCCTTCTAAAGAGGAAAAAGCATTTCTATGATTTTTGGATAGCTACTTTTCTTAGTAATTTTTCCTTAACCCATTCTCAAATAAATAAATATCCAACAAATCAAAGACTGAAAAGGTAAATTGTGGCAACTCTTGTTTCTTTGTATTAAACCTTTCCTGATTTTTCCAGTCCTTCCTTCAGTTTATTATCTCTCTTTGATCTTCCCGTTGGGACCTTGGTGGCACACTGGTTAAGACCTCAGGCTGCTAACTAAAAGGTCAGCAGTTCAAATCCACCAGCTGCTCCTTGGAAACCCTATGGGGCAGTTCTACTCTGTCCTATAGGTTCACTATGAGTCGGCATTGACTTGATGGCAATGGGTTTGGTTTGGTTTTTTATCTTCTTGTTAGATTTTCCAGGCACTTCCTTCTCATCTTTCCTATTTTAGAAAAAAAGTATAATGACAAAATATAACTTTTTTTCACTAAGTAGGTTAGTCACTCCTATCTAGTATAAGATAATTTTTCCTAGCTAATCTCCAAACAAGTTTTACTAGAAAATTTCATGCTGCTATTAATTCTCTCTACTATTTTCAGTTTATAGGTCAAAGTGCATTTTGCACAAAGAATAATTTGTTTCTCTGCTCTTTTTAGAAGGTGCCCCTGTATACTAGACTGAGTCCTTACTATCAGGAAAGCACTGTCCTGTAACTGGATAGTATTATCAAAGTACACCTTTAAACATCAGCCAAACTTTGAAAACTTTCCAGCTGAAACTAACACTAGGTTTCATATTCATTTCTCTTTTCTAAAGGACAGTGCTTTTTAAAGAATGATTTATAAAACCAGAAGATATTTCAAGGCTAAAAAAAGGCACCTTAACACTCTAAAGAAAAGAAATAATGTATTTTGTCATCACAATAATGTGTATTTTTTAAAAAATGGATTCATTTCCTGATAAAAGGAGGGAAAGAAGTATAATTTGAAAGGCATGTGTAAGTTTCACTTCCTTATGCGTGTGTCTTCCTAAAGTTCAACTTTAGGGAAAAAAAAAATCCATCAACAGAAAAGATACCATTTAATCCTTTCTGTACTCACTTGTCTTTAAGACAAACATGGCAGTAAAATGTCTGCTCTAGGGTAATGAGTTTGTGATATGTTTTGCCCAGAAGCTTGTTTTTTCTTATTTTAGCATTCCTTCATTAGCCAGATTACCAAAGCTGGGGCATGGCACACTATGAAGCTATGATGATGCATTTAACACTTATCATCAGAATGGCTGACCGGCTTGTAGCCAATAAAATATTCTCAGGATGGCCATTTCCCTAAACCAGGAAGCCTAAAGATAAAAATGAAATAAGTTGTGTCAAGAACGTTTTCTACCTTAATTAGGGGATGGGTCCCTGCAAAGAAGGTGGTCCTACTGCATACCAGAGCACACCTGGTACAAGTATGTGGCAAAGACAAATTAGAGTACAAAGTTTCACATGTGAGCACTGGAGTGCTAGCCAGATACTTGAGAGATACATCACTGCATTCCAGGAGAGACATTTAGCTTTTGAATGTTTCCGATAATTCGGATAATTACCTTCTTAAATGCCTAACATGACCTTTCATTTGTCACCAAATCAAACTTTCTAAGTTTCAAAGTAAATGTCTTCTTAGGTGCATATAGAGATACTACTGAGTTTTATGATTCAATGCTCAAGCAAGAGCGATGAATTTAAATAAAAGTATAACCAGATGTCTCATTTTGCAAAGCCTAACATGAAAAGGAGCCCTGGTGGTGCAGTGGTTAAAGTGATTGCTGACGGAAAGGCTGGCGGCTTGAAACCACCAGCAGCTCTGTGGGAGAAAGACGTGGCAGTCTACAGTTTACTCTATTAGGTTGCTGTGAGTTGGAATTGACTCAAAGGCAGTGGGTTTTAACATGAAAATAAAAAAATACATTATTTATAGTTGTACGTGCCTGTGTGCTTTACATTTATGCTGTGTGTTTTAAGAATACATTATTTGATCAACAAAATAAAAAAATAATACACCATAATCTTATTATCATGTTTTATGGCTTATAATTTATCTCTTTAATCTTTATAAATTCTGGGATTTGAACCAAGGTCTTACAGTTCCTGAATTGTCTGAGAAAATTCACATCACTGTGGCAGAAAAGAGTGGTTATGTTATGAAGTAATGGAGGTAATCAACACCCAAGAAAGTCAAAGCTGGAAAGAGTGGTAAGTCAAAATTATAAAATGAAGAAGTCTATGAACGGGAGAAAGCTATAAAAATGTAGTGAGTGTAGTTTTTCAATGGTAGTCTCAAAAGCATGGGCCAACTAAAAATGGGCAGTACCATCTTTCCACACCCAGCAGGTAGCTCGAAGACAAGCCTTACTCCATTGCTTACTATCTAACTGACCTTGGATAAATTAACCTCTTGTGAATCTGTTTCTTCATATCTAACAACAAGGAACTACCAATGTCTTCCTCAGGATTGGAGGACAGGATAAGATAACACATGTGAAAGCACCTAGCAAGGGGCCTGACACTCAGGAAATGTTCAGTAGGTGCTGGTTTCCTTCTTTCTCCTGCCAGGCTCTGAGCAGCAATATGTCTCTTTTCCCCTCCAGAACTGACATGATGGCACTGGGTTTGGTTTTTTGGTTTTTAAGCATTTCTGGTGGTAGCGATATAGATCAGAAAAAGTGACCCTAAGAAAAAGGGCAACTTTAACAATAAAACTGTACCTGTGCCCAGGCTGCAGATTATGAGGTAAATATGTATAATTTCTGAATCTGATTTATTACTCATTTCATATACCTGGGAAAATTTATAAAAAATATTGAACCATGAAGGAGGATAATTTTTTCCAGAAAGTTTCTACAGCTGTTCCATACCACCCTATTGAATTCCAGCAACGTTTGGCTCTGAAACAAGTCAGCTCATCCAAAGTGTACTGTGTGCTTACAAAGCACTGTGCTAAGGAGGCTAATGAGCAACTTACTGAACAGAAAACAGGAGAAGGGCGGCTGACAATGTTACCCTCTTAAGAGATCAAAGCCAACTCACAAGATTAATTATGTGTAAGAATTAAAATAATGCCTATGAAAAAACTGGCCACCTCAGTACTAAGAATAAATAAAATTCATAGCAAGTTCTTAAAAAGAATACAATGAGTCACATTTTGGCATTAGAATTTGACATTCCACTCTTTACAACACCTAGGGAAAAAACGTTTTAAGTTCTTACTGAAAGTAATGACTGATAGGAGGTAACTTTGCCTTGTGACAGAAAATGTTACATGAAGAACTTTGAAATGCATACTTACAAATTCAAATTCTCATGTGATATCCAGCTGAAGAGACTTTATTTGTTCATTCATTCATCTAACGTGTTTATTGAGGGGCTTTGGTCATGTGGGTTGGGCATGTAGACTGGGCAGCACAAGTAAAAAATGGCATCAGCAATGATCTTGGTGAGATTAAGAAGCCAAGACTGAGAGAAGATATGCAATATTTTGATAAGTATCCTCTGGGACACTATCCAGGAAGAGAACACATTTTCGAGAATTTAGAAATGGAACAGCAGGGACTCATGAAAGGTGAAACAGTGGCATTTACTGGTGAGGCTTTAATATTTTTATTCTTGTCTGTCAAACTCATCCAGGTATCCAATTTCACAGTCAGCTGAATAATCAGGTTGCATTTTTAAACATTCAAATGAAGACTCTCTTTTTATATGAGCTTTTCTACTGAATCTGGTAAAACCAAGTAAAACAATCCACCTTTGCATGGATAGAAAAATAATGATTTTTTCCCAACATGCTGTCCTGGGGACTCCAAAGTAGGAGTTCCTTACTCGCGCCTGTCTCCCTAATGTGTATTCTCACCTAAATTCACCTGTGTGCTGAGACCACTGCATTCCATTGAGAATTCCTACATAGACCCAGAGGCTGAACCGTCGGACAGATATGGCCTTGGGTGCTCTTTACGTTAACTTCTACTATGGAAACTGCCAGTGACCCAGGACATTATACAATTTTAAGAAGTGACATCAGATGTAGCAACAGTTTCATAGGTTACTAACCTCATTAAAATATTAGGATCTCCATTCACTAATAACAAAAACCCAGGGAAGGCACTTCTCAAAGCCCCAAGAGGTCAGATGAGTAATTCTGAAAAACTATAAAAAACTCCTTTCCCCAAATAACTAATTTTCCCAATATAAACGTTCTTAAAGACAAAGAAAAAGAAAGGGTTAAAAAAAAAAAAAGATTCCAGGAAATATCTTTCCTTTTCTTAATCTTTAAAATAAAGTCAATAATCTCTACCCTTAAAAAATTATCATAAAAAGAAATGACAGTTCTAAAGTTTCCTCATAGTTTCCCCTAGCATCAAGGCTCACTGTCCTTCCTTTTCCTCTGTTACAAATGCAACTGTGTGGCACTGCATAATAACATAAAAAAATTTCAGTTTTCAGGTGCCTAAATAATAAAAACATCTAGCAGTAAAAGCCTGTTGATCATGGACTTCACACTCTTGTCAATACCTCATTCAAAAGCGCAATGCAGAAAGAAATGCTAAGGGGAAACAACACAGAGCTAGGAATCTTGAAGGTTTATGTAGAAGAGGTAGGCTCATAAAACAATTTTGAGGAACAATAATATTTTTCATCAGCTTGCAAGTCTGTTTTAGATATATACTCATCACTTATTTATCTAGTAATTGATAACTAATTTCTAAATTCCTCATTCTCCTTTTGTTGTTCACTTTGGATTACTCTGTGGTTTGTTAGCATCTGCTAAAAATTTGTAAAGAATGAAACCAAAATAATAAATCAATATAGTACTGCTACCAACTATGAGACATGAAAGCAAGTTTCAATAATGACTTGATTATTCATTATACCGGACCTTCATTTTCCCATGATCTTGCCCTTACTTCTATATCATTTAAGTGATTTTAGTTCTTTTCATTTGGACTGGGATCTGTAAAATAATAGGATTCATAATATATTTTTTAAAATTAAATGATTCTTTATGATAGTCCAGTGTTCTTATTACAGATTCCTATTGGAATTAGCCTTTAAAATAACAGAGTGGGTAGTAGAACTAGTACTTGATAATGTACCTTTAAATATCCATACAAACAGATTGTCCAAAATGGGACATGGAATTGCACAAATACTATAATCACTTTTTCCTTCCATTATTTTTTTTTCTCCCTAGAAACCACTAGATACAAATACCACTGAACTCTGATAAACTTCCATCAATCCCACCATGACTCCCTAAGCATTACATTTGGAGAAAGTGCTCCATGTAAAATAAGTAATTCTGTGGCTAAAGCAACAGTCTATCGGTTACTCTGTTTTTAACTTAACATGGGGGCAGAGGCCCTTTAGCAAATCAAAACGCCATCAGAGACTGATCCCAGCTATTCTCTGGAGGCACTCTGAAGCCTGTAGGATTCAGAGCAGTTCCCGAGGACTTCGCCCACAGCCCTGAGGTGGCTGAGTAGGGAGGCCGCTTTCATGGTGAACAGAGAGGAAGACAGTGATGGCTGATACGCTCACAGAGGAGCCCTGGGTGAGCCCACATGAGAGCGTGGGAGCATCCTGGCATGGCAGTAGTAATATCTTATTGGGAGGTAAGAGAGGTCATGAATATATGATGTGGGAATGAGGGTGTGGCAAGTGAGGAAAGAAGAGAACCTGACCCAAAGAGGGAAATCCACTTGGTATAACGTCTGCTTCAGATGTCAAATCTGCTCATGGTGCTGGGCTTTTCAGTGCTTGTTCATGATTTTTCCTTTCATTTCAACATGAACAGCTCTGGATAAAGGCACAAGTCTCACAGAGTCTATGGTAAGTAATAATAGTTCTCTAACATACCATATTTCTTCTTCTTGTCAGATATCATGGCATGAAGACGATTATTATTTCATAATTCCATGCTGCTTTATTTAGACTCAAAAGCAGACTTTCAGTGCTTAACAATCATTAGCAAATACATAGTGGGCATTTTAAGATCTCCATTACACAGTCTATCATTCCTTTAAAATGAAAAATTGCCTAATAAGGAGATTACAAAAAACTTCAGTATAAAGGAACTTAAATATGGGCTCATTCATAAGCCATCTACATTAAATTGCTTGCTTTTGGCAAGCAGAAGACACAGCAGAATGTAGGTACTTTAACTTCCATTTTCACTGCCTTTGGGTTTTTTAAGATTATAATCCATTATCAATTTCAAAGATAATCAAAGCTATTAAAAGAATTGAGAAATGAGAGTGGAAATCGGGTTTAAAAAATAGGACAAGAGAAACGATCATTTCTGGGTCGGCCTTGGATGATGTCATCATAGGTTCTAAATGTAATAGCCGAGCAGTGTACACTAACTCTTCCTGCCCATGTGACCTCTAACATCGATTTGGGCAAAACAACTAATATTTCAATAATTTTTTAGGCTGAGAAGCAAGATTCAGAAGCAAAAGATTAAATAGAGTTTAGAGTGCCAAGGATGGAAGGATGTGAGCGTGCGTGTGCGTGTGCATGTGTGTGTGTGTGTGTGTATATGTGTGTGTGTGTGTGGGAGCGCGCACGCGCACGCGTGGGGGGCCAAGGGGAGGAGGCATGAAAACTAACTCTTCCAGCACACACCCCTTTTGCTACTACAAGGGCATCCAGCAATCACATTTGCAATAGTAAAAATGCTGAAGAATCCTACAGTCTCTTTCCTCCCACAACCATCCCAATCCTCTCCTACAAAGCCCTTCTCGCTTTATCGGTGCCAGGAAATTCTTCAGGGGTTAAATGGGGAAGTGCAGCCACTACCATTGTTGCAATAAATAAATGAATGAACCAGAACGAACCAGCAATCCAGCCCTAGGAAGCAAGTATCTTATTTTCTACAATTATATACATTGGCCAGCAACCATATATTTTTAAAAATTATGTTTTATCTTTTAATGTGTGTGTATACATTATACACACATGCATCTATACAAAAAAAAGCATAGTGCCCTGCATACACATACATCAATATCTTTTAAAAATTTTTCTAGCATTATTTATTTCAATGAAAAGACAAATAGCTTTTATAAAATTGGATAAGCTAGCAACTTCATCTGAAAGGCCTTTTATTTTGCACTTACAGCATATACAAATACACATACACATACACACACACACACACACACACACACACACACAAAGGTTTTTTTTTTCCATGCCGTAGACAATGCTAAAATATCTGAGATCTGGTTGCTATGCCAACAGATTTTTTCTAAAATGAATAAAATTATTAGGAGGGAGAAAACATTCTTGACTCCTTTCCTCCCATCCATGAAGCCGAGAGAGGCTCAGGGAGGGCGAGAGGCTGCCAGATGGGGAGGAGGGGAAGGAAGGGAAGATGGGTAGAGGGGTGTTTGCTTACCAAAGATGCTGATTTGATCGTGGCAAAGCGCTCTCTGTTCCGGTAGTGGAGGGCCCGGCTCTGAACTGACAGGGTAGGCCGCGGCTCAGGCCTGGGATCGCCGTGGCCCGCCTCATCCCTTATGAATACATGATCCTGCAGAAATGGATAAAAACAAGGAGAAAGTCCAGCTGTGCTCTTTCCTCGCCGGCTGCCTCTCTCTCACCCCTCTTTCTGCACAAGCACTGCTGTTTGAAATGCATAGTTTAGCTCCTGCTAGTCCCCGCAGCTCCCACGGTACAAAATGAATAAGCAACACATTGCAGCCTTCAGTTAGGAATGTCAGCTGATCGCTAGTGGGATGCCTTCTGAATCCCTGGCAGGCTTTTTCTTTACCTCCAGAATTACATATATGCAAAAGAAAAAAAGAATAGAAAAAACAATGCAATGTACAGACTCCTTAGAACAGTTTGTTTAAAACGCTGTAACCAAAGAATTCCTTTAAAAATGTCATGTCCATGTCTAGCAGGGAGGATGCTGGTTGCTTTTAACATAAAAGCGAGCCTCCGCCTCATTCCCTTGAAAGATCTGCTTTCTCAATTTAATTTTATTTGAGCTCTGTTCGGTAGGATCATCGTTCTGCCTAGAACCAGTGTAGGCTTGTGCTGAACTGCCTCTCTGTCTTGTGCTGGGAAGATTCAGCAGTCACTGAGGGATCCTGCTTTCCAGTCATGATCGTACACAGTTCTAGCACCTTCTCTCTACAGCTTCAGAAAGGATTTTTTTTTTTCAGATTTAAAGAGACAGGCATACAATTTTAACCAAATGGTACTTTCACAAATTCTTCCTCAACTCAGCATAGGTATGGTCACCAGAGTGAGTAAAGATGGAATTTAATGTCCTTCACTGATTTAATTAAGCCTAGGCTTTTTGATAGGCAAAGATGATTAAGCTTATTGTAACGCCCAGTGAAAAAAATAACATTCCCTGAAAGGATGATAATGGGTGTTCCTTAAATGCAACTGAAATGACTTTTAAAGGGGAAAAATGCTTTCAAAGGAGGCTATTCCTCTCCATAAAAGATGGAGTGGTCAGTCAGTAAGTAGCTCTAATTCTTCAGAAAAGAAGATATAATAGTTAATAGCTCAAAAACATGTACAATCATGGGGGATTTTAAAATGGTACACATTCAGGATGGGGAAAGAAAAAATAATTCTTAATGACTGAGGGTTTTAGGAGAAACCATTTGTGGGAAGTCAGTTGAGCATCTTTTTTCCATGACTATTTGAAATTTTTTATAATTACTCCTCATCAGAAAACAAGAATTAGAGATTTAGACAATATAAAATTTTTATTACAGTCTAAAATTTTGAAAAGTCAAAAACATTTATTCCTTGAGGGAAATTAAATTTTACATCCAGGTTTTCATGTAGAAGCCAAGACCCAAGATTAAATTTTTCACTGGGCTGATTTTCGTTTTCCATTTATACGTTTAGAATACTTCTGTATGTTGGGATGATATCTACCATTACATCTCTATTAGAGATTTTTTTTCTATTTATTCT